CGGCCCCCATATATTTTCTTATTCAGTGTTTTTCCCCACATCTCTTGTCCCCCACGCCACACACTAGACGCTAGACTGTGTCACCTGGCACATAGCAGGAACTGTATAAATATCAGATGAGTGAGTCAATGAACCGATGGATGGGACTTAAAGGAGAGATTAGGTCTAGGACCTCAGGAAACCAAATGCTTTTAGCGTCACCCTTCTGTCACCCCTGCTGCTTCTTCCATCTCCAGAAATTCACTTTATTCCTGCAACAAACGTCTGTCACAGGATTGCTGGTATAGATTCTCAAGTCTCCAGGAGAGGAAAAATGTGAGAATTTAAGAGCCCTAAAGGTATAAAGATTTTAGTAGAGCCTCAACCCCCCCACCCCAGCCTAATACTGGGTTTTGGAACATTTGACTGTGACATGTGAACATATTTCTGCTTCACTCTCACTGGGAAACTTCATCTGCAGGTTACATTCAGTGAGAAATCATCAGATATTTAGTTAGAACAAATAAAAGCTACTGTGCATTATTATTAAATATACATTCTGAATATGCATCACATCCTGGTCTGAGGATCAAATAGATTGAAGATAAAATTCAACCAGGAATTCAGCAATGCCTACATCATACACAGATCGTTGCTTTACACCTGCTCTCAAGATGAGGTAATGAACCTGTAGAGGAAGTTGCTTCACTTCATAAAAACCCTAAACCAATGGAAAGAGTCCATTACCTACGGCTTGTGACTAATGACATAAACTCCTAAGAGTATTCCCATTGCAAAAATATCTGCAATTGGGAAAGACTGGCAAGGAGGGGTTGGTGGGAGGAGGATGCTAAAGGAGTCTGTGCTCATCAAGTATCTGTTACTGTCACGCACTCTGCTAAGGAGGTTTTACAAACGTCACCTCTGAAAAGCAGGTCTAAGCAGACCTGTCTTCTAGATAAGGGGTGCTGCTGGGGTTTGACTCCCTGTCAGGGAGAGGACAGTGAGATACAGGTGTGTCCCCCTTTGAAGGTAACCACGTGAGACATCAGCAGTAGAGTTTAATGAGTTCTCTACCAGTCAATGAGAGCAAGACTCACAACCAGGTGGGTGAAAGGGCAACACAAATGAGAAGGAATTTCACACAGAGCACACACGAATGGCCAATGAGCATAGGCAGAGATGTCTCATCTTACTAGTAATTAGGGAAACGTAAAATAAAATCACAAGATAGCTTTTACATCATTGGACTGCCCAAACTGGCAAAGTGTAAAAGTCTGACATCACCAAATATTAGCAAGAACATGAAGCAATGAAACTCTTATCTGCTAAATGATACTAATGTAGAGAAAATTTGAGATTTTCTAATACAGTAGAAGATACATCTATCCAATGATCCTGAAATTTCACTCACTAGGCAACTTCTCAAAACCCACACAAGAGGATATTACAAAAATCTTCACCACAGCATTATTTTTAAGAGAAAAATATAAATTTGAAAAAACCTAAATGTTTGAAGGAGATGGATACATAAATTGGGGTATATTCATATGATGGAATACTGTACAGTAGTGGCCTTGAAAGAAATAGAACTACACTTCTCAAAATATTTGAATCTCACAAATATAACATTGAGTGAAAAAAAGCAAATTACATAAGTATGCAGTATAGTATTTTTTATATAGAGACTAAAAAGTCCTCCACAAGAATACTTTATATTGCTTAAGGAATACAGACACACACACACACACACACACACACACACAGAATCACAAGCACTAAGCTTAGGATAGTGAGTTTGGGGCGTGGAAAAGATGCATACAGGAAACTAGGTAATTATTATTTCTGAGGCTAGGTCTTGCTTACATGACTTATGACTTGTTTTGAATTAGTTAGCTGTTAACTATTGCATGA